AGGAGGTAAATGTAAATTCTCCGGGTTGAGCGCTTTCCTTACGTATATCTAAAATATACAAACAAATGTTTTGCTTAAAAGTAAATAAATCAGGAACGAGACAAGGATATCCATTATCATCACTCTTCTTTCTTTTTTCTCTTTTCTCTTGGTACCGGGGATCGAACTCAGGACCCTGTGCTTGTGAGGCAGGGGTGGCACCACTGAGCTATAAATCCCCAGCTAGCCCACTATCACCACTCTTATTCGGTACAGTTCTCAATGCCCGAGACTCAGCAGGCTCCACTGCCTGCCTGGCAAGCTCCAGGTCCCGAGTTCAGTCCCCAAATCTAATAACCAAATTCGGTAGTGTAGCTGGATACAAAGTCAACGTTCGAAAATCAATAGCTTTCCTGCACACAAATAACAAACTCACTCAGAGAGAAATTAGGGAAATAACACCTTGCACAATAATATCAATACTATGAAATACCTAGGAATCAGTCTAATAAAGGAAGTAAAAGACCTTTACATGGAAAACTACAGTACTCTGAAAAAGGAGTTTAAAGAGAGTATCAGAAACTGGAAAGATATCCCTTGCTCTTGGATAAGAAGAACCAATATAGTGAAAATGCCATAGTTCTAAAATTGCTATACAGATTTAACGCAGTCCTGGTCAAAATACCCACAGCATATCTCACAAAATAAGAGAAAACACTCCCAAAATTCATTTAGAAACAGAAGGGACCTAAAATAGCAAAAGCAATTCTGAACAACAACAAGGCAGGGGGCATCACAATCCCTGACTTGAAATTATACTACAAAGCTACTGCAATAAAAACAGCATGGTACTGGTAAAAAAAAAAATAGACCCAGGGATCAGTGGGACAGATTAGAAGATGCAGAAACAACTCCAGACACACTCAGCCATCTTATCTTTGCCAAAAGAACCAAAACACCCTCACTGGAAGAAAGACAGCCTCTTTAATAAATGGCGCTGGAAAACCTGGCTTTCTACACTCTGGAAGATTAAAACTAGACCGAGGGCCGGGGATTTAGCTCAGTGGTGCCCCCTGGTCACAGCCTTGCAAGCACAAGGACCCGAGTTTGATCGCTGATAAAAAAAACAAACAAACAAACAAACTACCCCACCCCCGCCGCCAGGCGTGGTAGCGCACGTCTGTAATCCCAGCCCAGCACTCGGGAAGCTGAGGCAGGAGGATCGCTGTGAGTTCAAAACCAGCCTGGGCTACATAGCGAGTTCCACGTCAGTCTGAACTACATAGTGAGACTCTGTCTCAAAAAAAAAAAAACAAAAAAAAAAAGAAGGAGAAGCTGGAGACATTTCTAGATAAATGGATGCACCTTGAGTGCATCCATTATTTAATGCATATCCTTACGGGAAATAAATCAGACACACGTTTAAATACTGCATTGTTTCTCTGGTGTGAGAAACTGAGAATGAAATAAGGACCCAAATGTATAACAGACGTTGGGAAATGGGAGGAAGATGTTCAAATGAGAAAGGGAACAAAGGTGGGGGGAGAAGGGACAAGAAAAAAAGAGAATAGAAGGAAAAAGTGGAAACCAAGCTTTTGTAAATAAGGAGGGGAAAAGGGGTTGAAGGCAGGGGAGGGCAATGGGACAAAAGAAGCAAGGTATATGGTGCCCAGGTACAAATTCCCTGCGATGAGTGTGATCATTACAAATGTCTACAATATTCCAATAAAAAAATTTAAAACACAAAGGGCTCTGTCTGACAGGTGTAAGAGACTTTGGAGACACTGAAACAAGGCAGATGTGTGAATCAGAACTGGTGAAACACAGATGTTCCGAAGGGCTGGTTAGGCAGATGATGGAGGGCTCTCTGGGCCACGATCAAATGAGTGGTCAGGAACCTGCCTGTGGGGCTCCAAGCAGAGGCCCCCGTGAGTGCAAAGGCCCTGAGGCAGGAACCAGCCTGGCGGTGGGGGAGCAGATGTGACCACACAGGGCCCCAACCCTGGGTCTACATCTTTGCTAGCGATTCCGACCTCGAGGCAGCAGGCAGCACTGCCGGGGTCTCCGAGAGCTCAGGGACTTTAGTCCTGGAGCCAGGGAGTGACGCTCGGGCAGCAGCTGGCTAACGGGGTACATGACCCGGTGAGGACAGGAGGAGGGGCCACCTCCGCGGTCACAGGCCATCGCCGTGGACAACACGCACCTCATGTTGAAGGGGGCCATCAATCGCACCACGTACTGCCGGTCCTTGGGCAGCTTGAGTTTGGGGATCTTGGAGGGGTCGAAGTCCGGTGGGTAGTATTTCTGCAGGCAAAAAGGAAGCAGTCAGGGCGGGCACAGGCAGGACATGGACAAAAGGAAAAGGGGGACCCAAGAGCACCCCACGTTCGGTGATGCGCAGGGAGTCCTCAAAGTCTCCGCCCCACGTGTTCTCAGGGCTGGGGTCGATCACAACCAAACGACTCGGAGCAGCATCAGCCGTGGGCAAACCCAGGGGCACAGTTGGGGTGAGAGGCCAGAGGAAGTGTCCAGAACTTTCCCCAGAAAAGTCACCTGGTCCTGTGAATTTCCCAAGGACACAAGTAAGACGCTGCTGCCCCGCACAGCTCCGAGGCACCTGGTCATTTAGGCCCTTTGGATGGCACCGAGACTCGAGTCCCCAGAGAGCAGGGGCTCAGCATAACCCCGCTGTTGGCAAAAAAATGGAGGCACCGGCAGCCATTCTTACCAGGGAGCAGAAAATGATTTTGAAATCAAGTTCCTAGGTGCTAGGCACGGGCAAAACCCAACAATCTGACTGATCTTGATCTCTCTCCCTTTTCCCCTCCCTCTCTCCTTTCATATTAAGGATGGAACCCAGGACCGTCTCATTGAGCGGCACCCCCAGCCCTTTTTATTTTGTATTTTGAGACAGGTTCCCACTAAGTCACTAAGTTGTCCAGGATGGGCTCACACTTGAGATCCTCCTAACTCAGCCTCCCAGAGTGCTGGGATGACAAGCGTGCACCCCTATGTCCCTTTCTAAGGAGGGCAGTTGCAGGCCTGCTGTCTGGACTAGTTCCTGCACAGGCGTCAGAGGTGAGAAATAAATGTGGGGGTGCTGAGTTTGGTGTAACTCCTTTGGAGCGTGGAGCACTAGGGAGGCTGAGGCAGGAGGACTGTGAGACTCAGTCTCAAAATTTAAAGTCAGGAAGCCGGGCGTGGTGGTGCACGCCTGTAATCCCAGCACTCAGGAGGCTGAGGCAGGAGGATTGCTGTGAGTTGGAGACCAGCCTGGGCTACATAGTGAGTTCCAGGTCAGTCTCAACTACATAGTGAGACCCTGTCTCAAAAAAACAAAAACAAAAAAAAACAAAAAAACAAAAAAAATTTAAAGTCAGGTGTAGAGGTACACGTGTGTAATCCTAGCACTCAGGAGGCTGAGGCAAGAGGATCTCTGCAAGTTGAAGGCCAGCACAGACTACACAGAAAGACAGTGTCTCAAAACAAACAAACAAAAATTTAAAAATAAATAAATAAACAAAAGTGGAGGGATGTAACAGTGGCACAGCACCTGCCTGGTTAGCTCAAGGCCGAGTTTGAGTCCCTCTACCAAAAAAAACCAAAAAATAAAAAACTGGGAAGAAATGAGGTACCCGGGAGGATCCCCCACCTACAGAACCAAAGTGCAAGGCAAAACCCGAAAACCCGCTCTAAGGAACGTAATTGGCTAGAGACACTACTAGGGCCGGGGCTTCAGAGTCGGGTTCCAAAGGGACCGCTTAGAATAGCCTTGCTAATATTTTAAAGAAGGCCCCGCCCCCAGAGAACGTGATTGGATAACTAATGATTCCAAAGTCCATTCCCCACCACACGGGTGTTGGGTGCACCCCGGAAGGGAAGCCTTAGCGAAGGCCCGCCTCCCAGAAAAGGTGATTGGGAGGAGTTCTGGAAGCCCCGCCCCGCGGAAGACCGTTGACAAGGAAATGGTTCCAAAAGAAATGCACGAGAAGCTAGACCCGGAGTTTCCAGATGTGGTGCCTTGGGTAGACAACCCGAGTCGCTAAGCACTTACATTTAGAACTTTCCGTTCCGACATCTTCGCTTCCTACTCCTCTCACACCTCCGCCACCTACTAGGTTAGGTATTTACAAAGCTTCTCCGGGCAATGCCCCGCACATCCGTTTACGTCACGTCCTCCGGCCGCTTATTAGCTGCGGCATAAACAGCTACCTTCTTCATTGGCTATAATCTCAGCCTATCAAACTGTGAGTTCGTCTGACTTCGCTCCGGAATTGCAACCTTGATAACGCGGAATAAAGGTTCTGGGAACCTTCTGGATTTCCGAGAGTTCGGTAGAGGCGCTGCGCCCTCCGGAAGTAGGCAGCGACTTGATAAAAATTTTGTTGACGCGACATGGATGGGAATTTGGACGCTCCCTCTCTTGCACTGTTTTATTCAGGAATTGCTTTGGGAATCCACACAACGTTCGCGTCCTCCGTCCTCACATGGGGACTGGATGTGTCCCGGACGCGCCCCATCTGGGTTTGTCTTGAGTCACAGGCATAGAATTAAAGATCAGCTGGGCTTGGAGGCTCTCGCCTGTCATCCCAGCACTCAGCTTTAAAGGCTGAGACAGGAGGATCGCTGCAAGTTCAAAGCCAGCGTGAACTACGTAGCGAGACCTTGTCTTAAAAAAAGAAAAGCAAAAAGGATTTCTGTCCCCAGTACCAAGAAAAAAGAAATTAAAGATCAGGCTCCAAACATGGATATTCGCCCACTGCCCGTGTATGCCTTCTCTTAAAACCAGGGCTTTCCTTCCTAAGCCTCCTCCCTGCTTTCCTAAACATCTATTCTGTTTTATATACCTTCTTAGGGTCAAATGGAATTTCTAGTTTTAGTTTCCTGAGGAATCTTCACAGTGATTTCCATAGTGCTTCCTTAGTTCACATTCCCACCGATAATGTAACCCTAACCCTAAACTCCTTCTCCTCCATGCCTCGCCAGCATTTGTTATTATTTGATTTTTTTTTTTTTTTTTTTTAGACAGGGTCTCACTATGTAGTTGAGACTGACCTGGAACTTACTATGGAGTCCAGGGTGGTCTGAACTCACAGCGATCCTCCTGCCTCAGCCTCCCCAGTGCTGGGATGAAAGGTGTGTTCCACCACACCCGGCTCCACCTGGCTTTCTTGGTAAGTTTCTTACATGATTAAGGACACTGACCATCTGAAAAGGACAGTAAGACTTTTCCAATTCCAAAGGAACTTCTCTGAAAAATGTTGATCACCATTATAAGTGCCCTATTTCCCTAAACCCCACGAGTAACTCTTGTGCAAACTTGCAGTCCACACCAATACCTCGCGACTCTTCCTGACTTCTTGCTTGGAGACATGTATCTCTCTAAATCTGCTTTAGCAAATTCCTCCTACCCTTCTGCATGGCCACCTGCAGTGCATGTGGTGACCGAATGCCTTCCAGGAAGGAACCAATGACAAAGCCCCACTAAGGCTGGGTCCTCAAGGCCACAGTTTTTTTGTTTTGTTTTGTTTTGTTTTTTTGCAGAGTGTAAAGTCGCACACTTGTAAGACCAGTGCGAGGGAGGCTGAGGCAGGAGGATGACCATGAGTTGCAATCCTCCTGCCTCAGCCTCCTAAATAGCTGGGATTACAAACATGTGCCACTAAACCTAGCTGATGTCCCTCAATGCAATGAAAGATCTTTCATCACTAAGGCTCCTCAAGAGTCTTAAGTGAGTCACACCCTCAAGGTCCCTCTCGGTGTGGCAGGTAACTGTATCCCCAGGTTAGGGTTAGGGTGTCACTGTCTTTGGAGAGTCATTACTCTGCGTGCCACAGAAGGGGCTCATCGGGGACAGCTTCTCCGCATGGGTGACTTTGGATCCGAGAGCTGAGTGAACCCCACAGGCAAGGCCGGCAGATTCAGGTTGGGCCGCATTTACTGCTCCTTGGAGAAACCTTCAGAAAAAATCCTCAGGTCCCGTTACATCCGTGGACAGCAGCCGCTGCTGGGAAACTTTTTGTTTTAGCTTGTTTGAGGCAAGGTCTTGCTGTGTAGACCTTGAACTCACTGTGTAGCCCAGGCTGGCTTTGAATGCGCCGAGATCTCGCCAGTGCTGGGATTACAAACGCAGTTCTCACACCCTGCTCCAGAGGGTGGAAAGGGGTGGGACCACGGGGCGCGGTAGTCGTCCGTGGCTCCACCTGCTGGTGGGAATTTGTAGCTGCATGCGCGCTTAGGACGTGGGGTGAGGTTTCTCTTTCTGTCTCCATTACTCGGGGTTGAGGTCAGGGCCTTCACACTGAGCTACGTCCCCAGCCCTTTTCTCGTTTGCTTGTTTACTTATTTATTGGCACTGGGACTCGAACTCAGGGCCTCATGCTGGCCCGGCAGGCAATGCTACATCCTCAGCCCTCGTGTTTTTATTTTGAGAGGAGGTCTCCCTAAGTCATTAAGGTGCAAGGGCTGGGCCGAAATTTGAGATTTCCTGCCTCGGCCTCCCAGAGGATGACTGGCATGTGCTGCCAAATCTGGCTTTTTTCTTTTATTGAGTCCACGTCCGTGATACATAACAAATACAGTCCTCAGGACACATCAATCCCCTTCCCCTCCCTCTATTTCTTGCATTCTTTTTTTTTTTCCTGGTACCGGGGATCGAACTCGGGACCTTGGGCTTTTGAGGCAGGTAAATCCCCCTCCCTCCCTCCATTTCCTGATCTCCTTCCCATTTGCCAAAAATCAATCTTCCTGTTTCCTACTGTGTTTTTTATTTTGCTTTTTGCTGTATTTATACTTTGGGTTTCCCGTAGAAGAGAAACCACCCGATCTGTAAGAGCGCGTGTCTGCTCAAGTGGAAGACATCAGACGCACGTGTTGAAATACCGCGTTGTTTCTCTGGTGTGAGAAACGGAAACTGGACGTAAGGACGAAAACGAATAACAGACATTAGGAAATGGGGAGAAAATGCTCCACAAGGGAGCGGGGGAAGGGAGGAAGGGACAAGAAAAAAGTGCAAAGAGAAGGAAAAAATGGAAACAAAGCTTTTGACTACAGGGAGGGGAGGGAAGTCAGAGGGGAGGGGAGAATGGAAAAAAAGAAGAGGCGGGATGTACCATGTATTGGTGCAAATTCCCTATGATGAGTGTTAGCATTATTTATGACTAAAATATACCAATAAATCTTTTGTTTCAAAAATAAGAGTATGTGTCTTTTTTGTTTTGGTTTGTTTTGTTTTTTTGAGCCAGGGTCTCACTGTGTAGTTGAGACTGACCTGGAACTCACTGTGTAGCCCAGGCTGGTCTCGAACTCACAGAGATCCTCCTGCCTCAGCCTCCAGAGCGCTGGGATGACAGGTGTGCGTCACCATGCCCAGCTTCCATTGTATGTTAATACCACATTTTCTCTATCCATTCACCTGCTGAGCGGACAGACGTAGAGGCTGTTTCTGAGACACAGCTGTTATGGGTTGTGCTGCTATAAACGTGGGTTCATATGGATCAACGCTGGGATGACAGGTGTGCGTCACCATGCCCAGCTTCCATTGTATGTTAATACCACATTTTCTCTATCCATTCACCTGCTGAGCGGACAGACGTAGAGGCTGTTTCTGAGACACAGCTGTTATGGGTTGTGCTGCTATAAACGTGGGTTCATATGGATCACTGTGACGTGATATCAGAAAGGGGAATTTCTGGGTCAAGTGGAATTTCAGGTTTCAGGTGATTTTTTTGTGTGGTACCGGGATGGAACTCAGGCCCTTGAGCTTGCAAGGCAGGCACAGCGCCACTGAGCTAAATCCCTGGCTCCAGCTTTAGTTTTTCGAGGACTCTCCATACTGATATCCACAGCGGCTGTACTGGTTTACATTCCCACAGGTAATTTAGAAGCGTTCCTTTTCCCCCTGCAGCCTCTCCAGCACTTGGTATTGTGTGATTTCTAGATGATATGGCCGTTCTTTCTGAGCTAAGATGGACCGGCTCGCTCTTATCACAGCGCAAAATGGCCTGAGACAGGAAGGAGTCAGCAACGACTCTTTTCTAATTTAATTTCGTTGGAAGTACCCGCTCTTCCCAATTGCACCGTGATCCGAGGAGAAGGCACGTTCTCACTCCACGGGTTGGGAAACAGCCTCAGACAGGCACAGTCGCTCGCCCAAGGTGGCCCAGCAGCCGGGCAGCAGCAAAGTCGGGACTGGAACCCAGGCCAGGCAGGATCCATCCACCCCCAGCAGCCGGCAGCCAGGCTGCTGGGAGGCCCCACTACTTGCCCAGGGCCAAGCAGGTGACAGCAGGGAGGCTCCAGTCGCTGGGCTTCCCGAAGTCTGTGAGGTCCTGGGCGGCCACCTGGATGTAGTACCTGGCCTGGGGCGGCGCAGACCTGAGGACGAAGACTGTGGCTTCAATGGGGCCCACCTGCGGCAGAGAGGGTGTAAGGTCCCGCACGGCGGAGACAGGCGCCGTCTGCAGGAAGCAACTCTTGCTGGGCGCAGCCCCAGGTCTTTGATCCCAACAGACCAATCCACACCACGCGCCTTCCACACCCTCCCACAGTGTGGGTGTGGCTCAGTGGACCACGCCCCAAGGGGCCTGGTGTGGGAAGCTAATCCGCAGAGCACCGTGCTGAGAAGAGGGAACTGGCTGCTGCCGCAGCACAGCCTATCTCAGTGACTCAGGAGGCCGAGGCAGGAGGATCTCAAGTTTGAGGGTACTCTGGGCAATTTGGCAAGACTCTATATCTAAATAAAATTTTAATGAAAAAGAGCTGGGTGTGGTGGCAAACACCTGTCATCCCAGCACTCAGAAGGCTGAGGCAGGAAGATCGCTGTGAGTTCAAGACCAGCCTGGGCTACACAGTGAGCTCCAGGTCAGTCTCAACTACACGGTGAGACCCTGACTCAGAACAACAACAACAAATGTGATAAAAAAGACAGGGGATGTAGCTCATTGGTACAGCATTTGCCTAGCACAGGTTCAATACCCAGCACCACTAAAAATAAAAAAAAGAGTGGAAACTTAAGCCAACATAGTGTTCAGAGGCAGGGCATCTGGGAAATGACTAGGATTCAAGAAAGTTCTCTGTATATTAAAATCCAAGCAAGAGCAGCCCATCTGTGACTTTTCTGACTCTGCCTGTCCCTCCCTGTGGGCTACTCTGTCACCTCCTCCCACAACTTTGTAACCTCAAGCCCAAGCATTTCCCTCCCATGCCGGACCTGACCTGTCCCACACAGGGGCTGGATGCGGCTTTTCAGTGGTTCTGTTTTGTTTGAGACAGGGTCTCCCTGTGTAGTTCAGGCCGGCCTTGAAGTCACTATGTAGCCCAGGCTGGTGATCCTCCTGCCTCAGCCTCCTGAGTGCTGGGATCAGGGCGTGCACCACCACACCCAGCTTTTTCTGAACAGTTTTTTATCCCCAGTTGGTTGAATCAGTGACTATAGAACGCACAAATACAGAGGGCCCACTGTAGATTCCCAGAATTGGGCAAACAATCAATCAAAATTTCAAACCTCAAGACCCAAGCTGGGTGTGGCAGCGAGTGCCTGTCACCTGGCATCTCTTACTGAGTACAATGTGTTGGAGGTCCATCCACGATGTGGCAAGTGTCAGCTGCCACCCTTCTCCTCTTCCTGGCTGAGTAGTAGTCCCGAGTGTGGATGGACCTCACCGCACGCATCTCATGCTGACTGTCACATGCACTGTTCCCTTTCCTCGTGCACCCTTCCAAGTCCCCTCCCCTCCTCACCTGGCGAAGGTGCCTGGCTCCGTGCCGCCTGTAGCGGATCCAGTACTTGAGAGAAAACAGCTCTGGGAAGGGCCAGGACTGCGGGGGCTCCCACTGTACCCGGAGCTGCCGCCCAGGGAGGGGGCTGAAGCACACACTTTCCGGAGGGTCTGGTTTGACTGACCGGGTAGCAAGAAGGAATTAGGGATGGGAGCTCATTCATCCCTTCAGACAAGTTTTTGTTTTGTTTTGTTTTGTTTTGTTTGAGACAGGGTCTCACTATGTAGTTGAGACTGACCTGGAGCTCACGATGTAGCCCAGGCTGGTCTGGAACTCACAGCGATCCTCCTGCCTCAGCCTCCCGAGTGCTGGGATGACAGGCGTGCGCCACCACGCTCAGCTAAAACTCGCCATTTTAAAGAGTACAGTTCAATGTCCCCTCAGTACATTTACAAAGCTTTGCAAATATCATTTCTACTTCTAGAACATTCTCATCACCCTAGAAGGAAGCCCTGTCCCATGAGCAGTCCCCTCTCCCCTCCCCAGCCCTCAGCACCCATAGATCCACTTCCTGTCTGGATTTGCCTGCCCTGGGCATTTCCTATTCATGAAGTGACATGCCGTGTCCTCTTGTGTCTGGTATTGCTCACCGAGCATAATGTCCTCATAGTCCATCCACAAGGCAGCATGTGTCAGAGTTGATCTAAGTGCAAGGCTTGTGGCCCCTGGGTAGAACTTGCACTTTTATCCAGAGGTAGGTGGGAGCTATGGAGGGCTACAGGCAGAGGCAGGACAGACTGAATATGACTCATGGGCACCCTCTGGTGGAAACTATTGGAAGTGACTGCACTTGTCCAATGTGACACTGGGACTGGGCAGGTGGAGGCAGAGGCAGGAAGAACAGGGGTAACTGGAAGGAGGCAGACAGGGGAAAGGAGACTCACTGATGTGCTCGGCCATGAAGGCCACCAAGGTGCTGCGGGCGCCTGTGGGGTGGACGGCGGTGACGTTGAGAACGTAGGGTACTGTGGAGAACAGCAGGATGTCAGGGATGGAGCAGTGTGTGGCTTCCGGGATGGGCTGCAGACAGGGCCGGCTTTCGCCACGAGAGGCTACGCCAAGCCTAGACACAGGTGACACCGTGAGGGCCTCTCTCTCCTGGACCCCAAGGGAGAGGCACAGGGTTCCCGCCCCACCTTGGTGCTGAGCAGCTGGCTGGGTGACCCCTGTGTGACCAGGTGACCAGGGTTTAGGGTGACACAGCCAGGGAGATGGTAGGCTTCTGGGATTCTGGCAACAGCAAATATTCTAACTTTGGTTCATATTTTGTTGGTACACATTCCAGGCTGACCTTGAACTCACTGTGGAGCCCAGGCTGGCCTCGAACGCATCCTGCCTCAGCCTCCCCAGGGCTGGGATCACAGGTGTGTGCTGCTACCCCTCGTAGCTACATTCCAACTTGTGTGTGCGTGTGTGGCACTGGGGATCGAACTCAGGACCTTGCATTTCCCAGGCAGATGAGGTGCCACTGAGTCTTACATTCCAACTTTTGAATCCCAACACTTGGCAGATCAGTGAATTCATAGACTCTGGAATCTCAAATAGAGTCTCTCCATTTTGGACACACTAAGATCAGCCTTTTTTTATTTTTTATTTTTAAGATGATCGTTTCTGCAGTATTAGGGATCGAACTGACACTGGTGCCTGCCAGGCAAACATTCTACCACCAGGCAAGCTACACTACCTCTCCAGCTATTTTTAGTTTACTTTGAGACATAAAACACATATCCTAAAACTCACCATTTTAATGGGTCTGGCTAAGTTCCCCAAGCTAGTTTTGGAAGTTGAGGTAGTCCTGCCTCAGCCTCCTGAGTAATCCTGTGATTAAAGGCATATGCAGAGCCGGCAAGTGAGATGTCTGACATTAGAATATCGAGACCAGGCTGGGGATTTAGCTCCATGCTTCCAACGCTTGCCGCACAAATGCAAGGACCCGAGTTTGATCCCCGGTACCAAAGAAAAAAAAAAAAAAGAATATTGAGACCAGCAGAACATCATATGATAGAGGTTTTTGCAAGGGTCACAATATTCTATTTCCTTTTACTTCATTTGTGTGTGTGGTGCTGGGGGTGGAACTTAAATCCGTTTCCATGCTAAGCTAGTGCTCGTTACTATGCTGCAACCCCACCCAAACTAATATTTTGATAGAAACAAAAAGGAAACACGTGTACACACACACACACACAGGAAACACAAACAAATGCCAAAAAAGAAACTGATATTTTGTATATTCATCTCACATGATATTAAATAATTTACATTAGCCAGGAGTGGTGGCACACGCCTGTCATCCCACACTCAGGAGGCTGAGACAGGAGGATCACTGTGAGTTTGAGATCAGCCTGGGCTACACAGTGAGTTCCAGGTCAGTCTCAACTACATAGTGAGACCCTGTCTCAAAAAAACAAAAAGAAATTAATTTACATTATAAATATTACTATGTAAATAAAATCTAAAGATGAAAATGTTAAATAAAACTGCATTAGATTAAATGATAAACATTTGTAATATTTAGATACTACTTAAGTTAGGTATTGAACACCACCCATATCTTCCCTTTCTTTCTTTCCTTTTTTTGGTACTCAGCATCGAACTCGGGTCCTTGGGCTTGCAAGGCAGCTGGCAGAACCACTGAGCTAAATCCCCGGCTTGCTTCCTTCCTTCCTTTCTTTGGTACAGAGGATAAAAGCAGGCCTGTAGCACATGCTCACATGGCTCAGCCCTGGGCTGTACCCCTAGCCTCCCCCCGCTTTTTTTTTTTTTCATTTTTTGCGACAGGGTCTCACTATGTAGTTGAGACTGAGCTGGAACTCACGATGTAGCCCAGGCTGGTCTCGAACTCACAGCGATCCTCCTGCCTCAGCCTCCCGAGTGCTGGGATGACAGGCGTGCACCACCACGCCCGGCTCCCCTAGCCAGTTTAAAAATTTTATTTTGAGGCAGGGCCTCGCTGTAATGCCCAGGCTAACTTCAAACGTTCAAACTCATGATACTCCTGAGTGCTGGGATGTCAGGTGTCACTGCGGCACCCAGCCAGGAAGTGTTTTTTCTATTGGCCATTGCTGCTCTAGTTTGGGGTTGGGGACGCCTGAGGCCACCACAGCCAGCCTCTGACCTCTCCCTGAAGACACCTGCCCCGCCATCCCGCCCAGCCCCTCTGACCTGTATGTGGCAATGAAGGAGGTGGCTGTGGGTGTCGGTGGCAGCATCCAGGAGCAGTCCACGGCGACCGGGTACCTGGAGGCCCGGCACTGCACCCGGGGCTGGCTCAGAGCCACTGGGGCCCCAGAAAGATAGGGAGGAGCGTGAGTTTCAGATTCACCCCAAGATTGCCACCACCCCATCAGGATTTGTCAGTTCATTTTCCAGACAGCGAAATGGAGGGAGGCTTTAGGAGTCAGGGGACTGGGATCTGTAGCACACAGCTGTAATCCCAGGTATTCAGGAGGCTGAGTCAGGAGCATCTCAAGTTCCAGGCCAGCCTGGGCTACACAGGAAGACCCTTTTCCAAAGTTTAAAAATATTTACAGAGACTGGGGTGCAGCTAGCATATGCAAGGCTCTGGTTCAATTCCCAATCCCTCATTTAAAGAAAGCCAGGTGGGCCAGGGAGGAGAGGGGTTTTTCTAGGCCTCTTTTTGTAACACTTGCCTCAGAGTACACAGACGTCTGTTCTAGTCCAAAATGAACACTTTCAACTCAAATTTATATCTATATCAACCCTCGGTGTCTGTGGGGATCAGTGACAGGAGCCCTGTGATACTCACTCACTAGCACGGTGTGATGTTTGCATACAGCCCAAACAAAGTCCTCTCACAGACTTCAAATCGTCCCTACATGGCTTTATAGGGGGAGGGGAGGTCCGAGTCTCACTGTGCAGTTCAGGTTGGCCTTGAACTCACTATGTAGCGCAGGCTGGCCTCAGACTCCAGGAGATCCTCCTGCCTCAGCCTCCTGAGTGCTGGGATTACAGTGCTGGGCTCCTAACATTCTTTTTTGTTGTTGTTGTTGTTTTGTGTATTGTTTTTTTGAGACAGGGTCTCACTATGTAGTTGAGACTGACCTGGAACTCACTATGGAGCCCGGGCTGGTCTTGAACTCACAGAGATCCTCCTGCCTCAGCCTCCCGAGTCCTGAGATTACAGCTCAGCCTGGCTCCTAACATTCTTGATCCAAGTCTACAGGTCTCAGGTGAGGTCCCAGATGATGTCCCTCTGCTTGGGTCCCCCACATACCTGTCGCTCCACTGCGGGGCAAGCAGTCGCTGCAGAGGGCGAGGAGCAGGAGCAGCCTCCGGGTCATGGCTGTGGGCTTCTGCTGTCCAGATTTCGGGTGGGGGACACGGAGGACAGCCCAGGGAAAGCCCAGTGCCACAACGGGTCCCCGGCTGAGTTTATGGGGCTGCTGGAGGCTGCTCAGAGGGCAGAGCTGTTCCCAGTCCCCTCCCTGGCCACGGGCTTCAGGTGCGGAATTCCCTGAGGGTGGGGGCAGGGAGAAGGTCGCAAAAGAGAGAAGTGACCCCGTGGCCTTTCCCAGCACAGCGGGACACGCTGGGCCCTTCCTTCCCGTAGCAGCACTGCTGGGGAAACCCCGGGGAAGGGATGGGCAGGAGAGCTCAGGCCAGGGACAGGGACAGGGGAGGGCGGAGGGATAGCGTGGGATGCAGGGACAACCAAGATGAGCAGGGCTCGGTGGCCCGCGCCGGTCATTCCGGCACTTTGGAGGCTGAGGCAGGAGGGTCGAAAATTTGAGCCCCCCTCCAGGCTCCAGGCCACAGAGGCGCAGGAATGGAGCCTTGGGGAGGCAGCCCCCACCCTCAGATGCTCTCCACGTGACAGGGACACCAGGAAATCCCCAGGGACAGGCTGGACCCATTCACCCGGGGAAGAAATTCCCGCACACGCTGCCAGCTGCCTCCCCTCCCTTAGCCAGAAGGACTCAGAAGTCCCCTGTGGGGATTTTGGGGGACTTGCCGAGGAGCAGGGAACCATGGGGGCAGGGGCTGGCTGCCAGCTGTAGTGAGGTTTGGGGTAGAAAAGTGAGTTTAACTCAGAATTGTGGAGCAAGAGCCAGGTGTGGTGACTCACACCTGTCATCCCAGCACTCGGGAGGCTGAGGCAGGAGGATCGCTGTAAGTTCGAGTCCAGCCTGGGCTACATAGTGAGTTCCAGGGCAATGTGAACTACATAGTGAGACCCTGTCTCAAAAAAAAAAAAAAAATTTTTTTTGTGGAGCAGGTATGGTGGTGCACACTGATGACCCAGCACTCTGGGACGCTGAGGAAGGAGAATCACAAGTTCAAGCCCAGTCTGGGCCATTTAGTAGCTTAGTAAGACCCTGTCTCAAAGTTAAATAAATTTTTTTAAATGAAAAGGCTGGGGAGGTATGTCGGGGCAAAGATCCTGGGTTGAATCCTCAGTACAACCACTACCACCACCACCAAGAACAACAAAATTCCAATAGCTGAGCTTCGGGCCCAGGAGGTGAAGGTTTCCGGTTAGGAGTCATCCCGACCCTTCCCTGCTGCAGGTCATCAGCAATCAGGCCACACACACCTTTGTCCTGTGCACGGTATGGTTTATTCCTGGCTTAGTGTCCAGAACTCGACAAGTGCAGGAGCTGGTGACTCACAGTTTGTCCGGTGGGGAGGGAGGGGGCGCCAGCCTGTTCAGTGTGTGTGGGGACCGCAGGTGGCGATGCTGCCAGCTAGGGAGGGACCCAGGCTGGTCCCCAAATGCCCACAGGCACAGTGACCCCACGGGACCGGGAGAAACCAGCCCTCAGCGGCCCTGAGCCTGCAGCCTCTGCATCTGCAAGATCTGGGTGAGAATCTGCTGCACGTCCTCATCCATCTGACCCTGGGGCGGGGAGCAGAGGCGGAAATAGACCCTGGTACACCTGTCCCGGCTCCCCGTCCCCTCTGCAGCCCCCACACCACCCCAAAACCTAAGATGAAAGCAGTCCCTGAGCGTCTCCCTGCCTGGCCGGGCCTCTCGCTGTCTAGAGGGGAAACTGAGGCCCCAATGGCAGCCGCAGAAGCAGGCACTCAGATCTGCAGATTTCCAGGCTGGGAGTCTGTGCCACTCACCTGGATGGCGTAGAGCAGGTGGCTCCTGTACAAAGTCACCACGGCACAGTGGTCCCTGGCGGCGTCCTGTGGCATGGGGGAGGGATTCAGCAAAACCAGACCCCACCTCCATCCGCCCAGCATGGTACACCCGGGACCCCACTGCACGGGAGAGGGGGTCCACCAGCTCTGGCTCGGAATCGGCCGTGCGCATGCGCCGAGGACCCGCCAGCCCCGCCCCACCCTCGCCCACAGACCCAGCCTCCCTCAAACCGGGCTGCTCGACCGCCAGCCGCAGGGATGGCTGAAACTCGGGGCTCCTGTGGCTCTGACCCCTATTCCCCCACAGCCCTCACCTCCATCTGCCGCTGCAGAGCCTTCACCTGGCCACGGAGGGCCTCCACCTCGGGGCTCGCAGGGGCGGCCGGCTGCTCTTTCAAGGCCTCTTTCAGACTGAAGACTTCTTTGGACAGTTCTGTTATCTGGGGATGGGGATAGAGGGGCGTCACCCTGAGCCTGGGGACCTGGGGTGGGGGCGGCAGGAAATGACAAGGGTCCGGGACTGTTAGGAAACGGCACATCCCAGGGGTTCACAAACCCTACACCTGCCCCGGGCCTACTTTGGCCCTCACCAGTTTTTGTAGGGTGGGTAGGTAAGAACATGTTTGTTTGTTTATTCATCTAGCAGCACTGAGGATGCAACCCAGCACCAAGAACAGAGAAAAGAACAAGCCGGGCATGGTGGCGCACGCCTGTAATCCCAGCACTCGGGAGGCTGAGGCAGGAGGATCCCTGTGAGTTCGAGACCAGCCTGGGCTACATAGTGAGTTCCA